AGCAGCCTGAAACATTGGCTTTGTCTTTAGCTAGGTAATATCTATCGTGATTGTAGCATATTGTTTTCTGGATATCATTTTTCCTCTTATCAAATCGTTGATTTTTTTCTTTGGTTCATCAAATGTCTTTTTTTTCAATTGAAGTAGGGTTTCTCACTTTCTAGACCAGATTTCCGGACTGCTTTTTTCATTATACATGTGGAAACCAATGGCCACTTCGGGATTGTTAATTCTTAGTTAGATAGAGCAAAAGCTTCATTTTTTGCTCATATTACCTTTTACTAATAGTTAATTAATGAACTCACTTGTTGACTCCAGTATAACTGTGGATAACTATGTTCAAAGATAGTTTCGGAGCAAGTAGGCAGAGATTTCACCTGTTGTGGTGGAGGAGCGTCTTTAAAACTAGAATAGGTCGTTCGAAATTGTAACTAACAGGCGTATGAACAGAAGATGACTCATATGTACCTGGGAAGATTTGCATCAGGCGAGTCATCAGGCGAAGGTGATGAGAGTGATGAAACACTTGTATTTGCTCCGGATGAGCCAGTAATGCTGGCATCTTTCACTCCATACTCTCTATGCTTACGTTTGTATCTCTGATTTTGGAACCAGATTTTGACCTGAACATATCACTTTATAGAGGTTATCAGGTTAAGCAGAAAATTTTGAGAATTTTACCTGCTCTCCTGTTAGGCCTATCATCTGCGCGAAGTTATCCCGTTCCGGTTGTCGTATGTGCTCTTTCTCTGCGAATCTGAGTAAATCAAAATGGGGAATTATTTATCATGGCGAGATATAAGAAAATACATGCATTCGTCCCATATTACATCTTCACTACCACATATAATTTGGGTCAAATATAAGCATATTTCCTCTTTTCATGTCTTAACAAATCTTCAGTAGAATGATTTTGGAATTTATACTGCAACATAAATTAGTTCGTTGAGACAATGGATTTTGAGTCTTACAAGTGGAATTGTCATAAAATAAGAGCTTGCAAAACAGAATTAATCATTTTAGTTTTTGACAAAGCGAGAACGACTGCAGTTGTCTTACCTTCGATGGAGCATATTCAGTTGAAGTTTTGTAAACAAATTGCGCTTCTTTTTGTACTTTCCTCCAGCTTGTGTCCCTGGAATCATGAAATAACTGTTCCTTCTTTAAGAATATATCTCCTTACAGTGTCTCTTGCTCCTACTGTTCTTTTTATTCTTGAGACTTCCAACAATTAACTATCTAATGAATTTTGGAATGAGTTGAGTTTTAAACGCTTTCGAACAAAAACGAAAAGTTTGAATAATACTATATTATTGTAAGTTTATATAAGTTTTGCTTTGGTCACACAGTTATGTCGAAATCCACTAAAGAG